CACTATCTAAACTAAATCAACAATAATACAAAATATCAAAATTAAGTATCTTCAATAAACAGTGTACCTGCTAAAAATAAATAAAACCATGCTATCTATCTCCAACTGACCAATTAATATATGTTATTTTTTTGTTTTTTAAAAAAAATCTTTTATATCTAAAAAATATCAATCAAAATTTTTAAAAACCATATTTCATAGTACATTTTGAATTTGCATTAAAAGTTAGTAAAATTACCTTAATATTAATATGTTCTAAAAAATGGAAAAATATAATAAAATATAAAATAAAAGTTTCTATTTTTAAAGTATCTGTTACACAAAACAAATAATTTACTTAGAACACACATTTTCTTAGAGCACCTAAAAAATTATATGCTTTACATTGAAATCCATTACTAGTTATTGAATAAGTTATACTTATGTATGGAGATAAATAAAAAAGTAATGATTGAATATTGAACCCTCCCTTATCAATAAGTTTTTGTGTATGTCACTGTATGTTGTAGTATTAGTTTTAATTTTATATTAACTTTTTTTTTTTTTTAATTTCTAGAATCATATTATCTACTTGATACAAATGCATTAATATCACACCGTTCTGAATGGTCAGAAGCGTGTTTTGTTGAGCTGAGCTTAGCATTTGATCTAACTGAAACAGAAGGAGCTCTGGCACATGTCTTACCTCCTACACAACCATGTATTGTTGATTTATGCAAACCAATCAAACTTAAAGTGCACCCTAAACCTGTAAGACGTGGAATGTGATTAAATTAAATTTTTATTATATACATGCAAAATGCAGATGAATATTAACAATTATAAATTTATTAATTTGATTGTATAAAAATATTTTTTAATAAAAATTTAAAAATATTGTATAAATTAATTATTTACAATATACTTAGTATTTAAAAAACAATAAGTCAGTCACATAATTTATTCGGCTCAGTTATATGTTTGAGAATTTCATTATTTCCCTTAATATCAGTTACAAGATCATCAATATCACGTAGACCTCGTAAACTAGCCCTCAATGCTTGAATATCTTGAGCACTAATACGACCAGCATGTTTGGCACCACTGGATGTAAATTTTACCTTAGCTACATTTACAAGACCATCATGAAATGATGCATCTGTGTCATTTGCACGCTCAATGAACCCAAGCAAACGGTGCTCAAATGTATCAAAATCTTTATCTAAAATTTGTGCCTGTAAGTAGACAGTCTGCGCCATTTTATACCAATCTGCCATACAATCAGCTAATTGCGTGACTACAGGCTGAACATCTGTATCTAATAATGTTCGAGCTCTACGACTGGTCTCTGTAATCTAGAAAATAGTATTAAAAAATAAATTGGTATAATCAAAAAAAATATCTGTTTTTAAAATGAACTATAAAATAAAATTTTAAGAAAAAAAATTAAGCATTTTTAAAATCTTTAATATTCAGTTCTAATTTCTATTACATACCTTAATTATTTCTAATACGTGAAATTGTTCATCATTATATGTGAGACTACGTGTAGCACGGTCTCTCAGCAAATGTTGCCAAGAATCCCTTAATCTTTCTACAAGTGTTTTTATTTTTGCAGGTGCTCTATTTTTATTTGGACATTTAAATGATCTGGTTGCTGATTGCCATTCTCTAGTTAATGTCTTTTCTTTAACGTATCGTTGATGTAACTGTTGTATTGCTAAACTTAAGCTATTATTCAATTCATCGCTTAATTTGTCCAACTCATCTTTCAGATCAGTAGATATATTCTTGATGCCAATCATATTATTAACACTTTTGTGTCCTCGTACTGAAATTTCTACTAGGTATTTTGTACATTTAAACACACTTTGTAAATGGTCACTCTTACTCAATACAGATTTCAGTTTTTCAGTTACAATTTTTGTAAATACATGTACACATTTATTAATTAGTTGACTGTTTTGTGACAATTTTTCAACACGCTTTTTACAAACATGTCCTACGCTGCATGCAGTCTTAGCAAGTCCTGCGTCACTGTCTACAGATGTCAGTTTTGGCAGAGACATATCTGGAAATTTTGGGAAATTAGGAATTTCACTATCAGCCATCAAAGTGACATTATTATTTTCTTTACTGAAAAGTAAAATAGGCTTATGCATTTCAGTTGGCTTATAAGATCTACCAGGAAGATCTAATCCTACTTCTGTTAAGAGGTATGTAGATTTATATAAAAGTATTTGATTAGCAGGAGATATTTCAGTTTGATCTTGTATTAAACACTGAAGTCTCTCATATGTTTCATCAGGGTGCAAATATACTCGTATATTTTGAACACGATTGGTATGAAAAATATGTAGTAATCTTCTATCTAATGTTTTAGTAACTTCAGCAAAAAATTTTTCAAAACTCCATATTCGTTGAGGTTCTAATTCTAAAAGACCTGCTAAAATAGGAGTAATAAGCTTTTTACAGCCATCACTTAATTGACAATTTTTTGGTAATTCTCTACTCCATGTTATTGAACCTTTTTCAGATGTTTGCACTCCTGATAAAACACCAGATGCCTTCTCAGTTGTTATATAATGCATAGTCTCTTTGTTTCGTCGCCCACCATATGGTCTAAATGGTAAATTTCCTGTAGCTACATGGTACAATGTAACACCGATTGACCATAAATCAACAGTAGCACCAAATGTCTTTGCTACTGGTTTTCGTAAAACTGCCCTCTCATACCTGAATAAAAAATAATTACAAACATCAAAATTAAATTAAACAAAATACATTAAATTCTTTACATATGAGGATGGAGATATTCCTCAGTTCCATACAACGACATAAACTCTTGATCTTCGTGTAATTCTCTTGCAGCTCCAAAATCAGTTAATTTATAAATAGGTAGACCATCATCACTTAAAAACTTCATGATATTACCAGGCTTTAGGTCTCTATGTACTAAATTATTATCACGTAAATGTTTCATACCAGCTGTGAGATGTTCTAAAACTAATAGAAACTCATCTTCCTGTAACCCATATGTGTTTTCTGGATCATCTAGTATTGTAAATAAACTTCCTCCTGTACATAATTCCATAACAATGACCTATAATAACTTAAACTTTAATAATTTAATTCGTCATTAAAATATGAAAACTAATCACTAACTTTTCCGCGACTTTCGTGTTCTTCTTCAATGGCTAACAGCTTTACTATGTTCTCGTGTTTAACCTTTTCCAGCACCTCAAACTCACGCATTTGAACATCTAAAGGTCGCATGTGACTTAACTGATTAAAAGTTTTGACGGCCACTGGTTCACCATTGTGTTTATTGACACCTTGATAGACCGCACCAGTTGCACCCTTTCCAAGCACACTTGTAGTACACCAAACATAATTAGTGGATCCACGTAAAAATGACATGACTGCTTCAGGACAACTGTGCTAAGGACACTGTTCACTTTCTCCAAAATCCACAGCAATTGTTGTAGTGACAACACCATTGGTCACGGTCTGCAGAATATAACATTCCTAGAAAACCTAAAAATGACCTTCTACAGCCCTACCTCAAGTTTGAACATTGAAACTTAGGTACACGTTTAAAACAATATATCTCTAATTTCTATTACTGATATTCGGTTTCTGTGTAAAAAAACGACGATTGTTTATTTAATTGTATTATTTATTACTTCTTTAAATGTTTGTTTTGATATTATCTTCATGTAGTCTTATCATTCATTATCATTTATCACTTACAGCCACAGAATACAGATATGTATAATAATTAATAATATCATACAATATATTATCTGTGGCTCTGTGCCTACTGCCTACGGTACTAACATGTGTAAAAAATTACTGTAACGATTAAAGCTGTTTGTTAGAAAGCCTTGGCAGTATGTGATCGTATCTCGAAAGTACGAAGTATTATAATAAAAACTAAAAAGTAAGAAATGTAAAAGTTGAACATAGATTATTACAATTATGTTTGAAAATAATTTAAATAATGAACAAAATATAATTGTTGCTCGAACAAAGTATAAAGTATATTATGTATAGGTAATATAGATGATATTTCCGAGTCGGTAACGATATAATTATAAAACTAAACAAAAATATATTAAATATAATGAGTATTCTAATAAACAACACTTAGCTTGATAATATTATGAGTTACACCTTCCACGTCTAGAATCACTCTTTACACTTCAGCTTGACTCTTGTCAATACCTAGACACCATGTCTAAAGTTTCATCCACCTTTTATGTATAATTTTGATTCCGCTTAGCCAACCACCCATACCCTTTCATTAAAAATCTCAACTTAAGTAATAACTTCATAGAAGAGAACTGATTGTCAATGGTACAGACCTCATAAATAAATTAATCTTTTAATAATATTAATGATATTACCAAGAAAACAAAGTGTCATTGCTGATTGGACTCTTATTAATTTCAGTTAAATAAAATTAATCTGCGCTATCATGTATCATAAAAAATTATCATTCACAGATTGTGAATATCCTATTAAAAAATTAAATATGATATGATATAATAGTATGGAGATGTATGCAAATTTATTATTACAGAAACATCAAACAATAGTTTTCCTAAAATCATCTAAATTATATTTTTAATAGTTTGTCAATTGTCGATAATGAAAATTGAATTAAGTTTTTATAGTTTTATTACACATTTACACGTGTATCATTAATACAGCTATTGAGCCATACAAATAATGGAGTAAGTAATAAAAATATGTATTATTGTTCGGTTTTCAGTAGTTTAAGTAGTTTACGCACTGTAAACAAACTACTCTGCGAGGAAAAATTATAAATTATAATCTATTATCGAAAGATTCAGTTTTGCGAAAGACGCGACCAGTAGTCGACCAGTGACGACTGACGACGACAGTCGACATTTTACCGTTTAGGCAGTAGCGGGGGGCGTACCTCTTCCAAGTAGATGGCGTGCGAGTTGATCGACCCTGTTCTATGGACTGTTGTGCGGTGCCGTTTTGTTTATACACATTCACACGCGCGCGCACTCACACACAAGCACACATACATGCGCGCGCAGACACACAAGTACAACCACAGTGGCGGCGAGCGTGATGTCGTCGATGTCGATTCCGTCCTCAGTGTTCGTAGGTGTCGGTCGTGTATCCGCCTCGTACATGTTTCTAAGATAAAAGTAGTGCAAATGGTTTTGTTCTGATTTGCTTATATTTTTCTACTCTGACAGAAGTAAGTAAGAAATACGTTTGTGCCTGTTTTTTAATTTTCTTCAGTGACGGAATACCCACACGCGATGATCGACAATCACGTCCACAGGGTTATTGTCGTGGTGTTTTTCGGCAGTGAATAAAAGAGACTTCGCAAACGGGATAAATAATAATATTTTTATACTCTATTATTATTGAACGTGTGCTGCGTGTGTTAGTGTTTTTGAGTTCGATTGTATAAGAGACCGTTAGTGTGTGTGTGTGTGTGTGTGTGCGTGTATTGCCGCTCACACTATGGAAGGTAACGGGGTCGGCAAAGATTGCAATGCCCTCGGCGGATTATTCCAGCAGATCGTCATGGACCTGAAGGTAACTACTAATAAATAATAATAGTAATAGTATGAGCAAAGTATAATTTTATTGTTATTATGGTCGTTATCGCTGTTCGTTATAAAGAAGAGTCCGTTGCCTATCCATGTCCAATGATATACATAGACATACTATCATTATAATAGGTTCGCGAATCATCGTGTGTGTGCCGTTTATCGAATGTTCGTATATAATCTGTCTGTTCAGATAATAGCTGGAAACTAAAAACCTCTTGTTCAAATGCATAACGTCAGAGCAAAGCGTTATATTATATATTATACCTATCTAAATAATAAAATTAAAACATAATACTTGTATAGATATAAACCACAAATTACGTACGCACTAGACAATACTGTAAAATGTATAATAATATACAGATATACATAGACGACTGAAATAAATATGTCGCGAGAGTAATCTAAACTGGAGCTCATAGAGAACCGTCTAGTTTCATATGTCATGTTATTATATTGTAATAACTTGGTTAGATTTTTACGAATATCAACGTATATTTTGTAATGATCAACCATCATTGCCCATAATTCCGTCAAATATTGATTTTTATTTTCCGCAGAACAACTTGAGAACCACAAAATATCTACGTAATAGGAATGATCGTGTATGGTGTATGTATATGGTACTGTTATTATAATAATTATCATAATACTACGGTTCTCCGCGACCATCGTTCTATTTATCCCTAGTACCTATCTTTTTTTTTTTTACGTCACGCGATTTATATGAGTTTTATTTTTGTTTGTCGATTCCGTTTCATTTATTATTATACTACTATGTATAACGTTTCGTCGAAACACATCCATAAAACGACAAATGTTTACAAATTCCACCCACTCGTCACATTCGATATTTTTAGTCGCATTTATACATTATATTCCTGAGACTATATATTTAAGCTATGTTTTAAGCTTGATTCTCAGGATTTAATTAGATAGGTAAGTAGTTTTTTAAACGATAAATCTAAAACCTATAAATAACATTTTATAGGTAATTATACGGTTTATTATAATTATGATTATGATGGATAGAATTTATTTGGAATTCAATAACTTTGTGGTAACATAAATTATAAGTAATACGATAACAATATTGTTCAATATTTACACTTAGTAATCAATAATAATTATTATTTTAACTACACGGATAAGTTATTCCTTAGATGATCAGTGTATTTTTTTTAAATTTATAGTTTTAGTAATTTAGTATAAAATATCCACTATTTCTTGTAAACCAAAATAATTCATAATTTATTTATTTATTCATTGATAAAATATTTAATTATGCTCATGATTCATCAAGAATTAAAATATTGTAAAATATAAACGAGAACATTATTAATGTTCTTTCTTCAAGTTTGATAGATCAATTCACTTTTAATATTTAAGCTATCATCACAAAATTAAAACTACCGAAACTAAAAATATTGTTATGTTATTTACATTAGTAAGATGGAGACATGTATATAAATGTTTATGAATATTTCGGTCCCTGTTACGAACCATATCTTTAATAATTGGTCGTCTTGTAAACTTTTAAAACCATTTAAAACATCAAAATACTTAACTCATAAAAATTTAAATTATAAATAAAACTCTTTATATCTACTTACTAATTCTAATTAACTTTTTATATTTATTATTTTAGACAGATCACAGAAATCCATTATAATTAATAAATGTATTTAGTTATAATAATCGTTAGTACTTATAAAGTATATTTTATGAATTGTGAATTTAAAAAAAGTTAAATTTGAAGTTTTTGTTTCGTGAAATACCTACTATTTGAAATATTAATTTCAATACATTTTAAAGGAAAACAAAAGTTTTATTACCTACGTTTAATGTTGAAATTATCATTTATGTATAAGATAACGATGGGAGGGACGTCTGTACATAAATATATTATGTATTCAACAATCAAGGCAATATTTAAATCAGCACTTTTAATACTTATCTAGTTATTTTAATAGATAAACTTCGTTGAATTTTGCAAAATTGATAAATAACTAATTATGAAGCATTCATGTTAATTTTTAATAAGTAATAGCTGGTAACCATTTGTATTAAATAATATTATTTTTATTATATTCTTTTATTAATCCTAATAATCTATTTAGACTTTAGTTTCCATAGTCATCATAAAGATTTTATAATAATAATTATACATATATATTAGAGGTGTTCCTGAATGCATACAAACATATAAATACGGTTATCTACATTTCATCCTAGGTTCAAATATTACGAAAATGGGTACGCAAAAAACATTTAAAAAAAAATTAATACGCAGTTGATAATTTTCAATCTGATATTTTATTATAATAGATACATATTTAAAAAAGGGGAAAAGTAGGTAACCGCTCTGCTGTATAATACGTTTCGAGTGTACCTCCTTATTGAAGAGTAAGTACTATAGTAATATGCAGCGGAACCTCGATAAGTCAAAATTCAAGGAAAATGCAATTTTTTCGACTTTTCAAGATTTTGATTTATCAAGATTTCAGAAAAAAAAATCAGCTTAAAGAATTTTTTTAATTTATTATCGTATTTATTTTTGTTACAATTTTATAAAAAATAATTTTAAATATTATTTTAAGTTAGCTTCTTGTACATACTATTGTCAATTGTATTTTTTATCACATTTAAATTAGAATATATTTTATCTTCTATATTACTCGAATATTCTGTAAATTTTCTAAGCAATGTGAGAGTAGCTTTTGCCGTTTTTTTTTTTAATTTGTAAGCCAACTTTAATATTGCTATTAAAGTAATTAATTTTAATTTCAATAGGTAATAAGATAGTCTGACTTAATTTTTACAAAAGCCATTGCATTTAAAAATGTTATTGTACCTATGTATAAAATATAATAATAATATATGTTACAAGTTTCAAGTATCTATGAATAATTTATACTTTTAAACTAGTTACAGTAAAAAAATTATGTTCATATGTTTTATTAAATATTTTGGTTATAGTATGACCTTTTTATAAAAAATCTTGTTTCAATTATTCAATTCTTAGTTTTAAAAATTGAATATTTTATAGACAATAACCAAAGAATTATTTATAATTGTTCGTAATACTAACGAATTTTATCAAAATTTCAACATCAATTGAATATGAAGAAATATCATTCATTAGTATCTTTGATATTTTTAAATAACGATAATAATCCTGATAATAATGACTTATGAAGACATTTGTATTCAAGTTTCGAGCCTTGGAACATCAAAAAAATTATTTAGATATTTATAGAAAAAAAAAAATGTATTTAAAAATGTCTTTGAACAGCCTGAAAAAGTCAAAATATTAAAAAAATGATGTCACGTGTATAAAATTAGAAAATAATATTATTAACTTGTTCGTTTTTGAGAAAAAATCTTAGCGAAAAAAAAACAAAAAAAACCCCTCAAAAATTGGTTTTGATAAATACTATTTGCAAAAAATTCCAACTTTTACTTAGTTGTTTTTTCTTGTTACTTTGAAAAGTACTAAAAATTACTTTCGACTCCTTAAAGTACCCACTAGATTCAATTTGTTTCCAGAAATCAGCAACAAAATTGATAATCGAAGCATTTTTACTGCCCAAGTTTTTACAGTTTAAACAAAAACATGCATCATTGTAGATATTATTGTATAATAAATAGTTACATTTGTACATGCATCACTTCATACAAAATTTAAAATACCTACCATGTCTTCGAATTTATATATCAATTTATATTTACAATAACTATTAATGAAAATTCAAATTATTTAAGTACAGGTCGTACAGATAATAAGATAAAAAATTTAATTAATTTTGTTTTATATATGTATTTTAATTCCCTATATTCAATGACAATAATAAGCAAGTAGGCAACCACTCTGCTGTATATTAATAATATCGAGTTTAAATTATACGAATTTTATAGGTACTATAAAATAATTTGCAAATTTTATTAATTTTGATATTAATATTCTGAAAAATATGTTTTTTGAATTTTTTATAGGTCCAAAAAAATGTTCCTACTTATAATTTTTAAATTAACTTCGATTACCTATATTAACCAAGGCCTAAATTACTAATTATATTGCTTATAATGTAGGTATAGTGATATTTGTTTATGAGCGAAAACCCTATAGTAACTCGAATTTAAGTGAATTAAACAATTCACTATATACGGGTTGTTTACTCTTACTTTTTAATTCAGAAATAATATAGGGAGTAAAGAACTGTTAGACTTGATTAAAAAAATAACAGTGGTATCTATTTTTGAAAAAAGCAAAATTTTCCAAAAACACTAATAGTAAGTTAAGTATAGTTTTTTGTATCGTCAAAATATATTGTAAGAAACTACACGGTGACTTAATTCGGCCTATATGGTATGATTTACGATAGTAAAAAGTAAGTGTAAGTTTCGCAAAGTATCTCATTTATTTAGAAATCAATAAAAATTTAAATCATAAATAAATGTAAAAAAAAAACAATAAAATTTAAATAAATAAGTTTATAAATTTTAATTTTCTAATTTTTAGTTAAAATTTAAATTAATAATTACATTGAAAAAGTAAGTAGCTTTTTTTAGAATAATCTTTTTTTTTAAAGAAACTACTTATTTCATATCATTTCAAATAAGATTAACTAATTAATAAATGATTGCTTTCAATTATGAATAGATACTAGAAATAATACTAAAATACTCATCTCTACACTCACTTCATTAGCCATTAGCCATCATATGAATCTTTTATTTGTGGTTTTATTTTTTAATATTTAATATACCTAATATTCATTACTCATATTGGTAATTACTAATCTTAGTTTGATTTTTTTATTCAACTCATTTTATTGCCTAATTGATTTTAAAACGAAAAGTTCATTAGAAAGCAGATTTACATACTCTTATTAAAGTTATATTATAGGTAGATTCTTTCAAAGCATTTTGAAGTAAGTAACTATTGGCAAGGATTAAGTTACTGTCTACAATATTTTTAAA